ATTAATGGCCCAGCCGTAGTTCCTGATATTGTGGCCGGCTCCAGGGGTTGTAGAAAGGAAACTAGCGGCATAGAGCTCCACACGAGGAAGGAGGGTCGATCAATCTGAGGCTCTAGATCAGAACATCCATCTCTAATAGTTTATATTCCGGCAGTGCAGTCCCTCCTTTTTCTACTTGCTGAGGGGAGATTCTGTCAGCGTTAGATGACAGTTAGAGAAAATATAATTTATCCCCCAAAGGTGTTGGATTAACGACTTTGGTTTTTGAGTAAATGTTTGCATGTTGAGCTTGTAGAACTTATCTAGGAACGCTTTTTTTATTTATCAGTGGTGTATCTTCGCGTCCAATTTCCCCGCTCACCTTTCTGGGTGCCAACCGGTGGCGGCTCTTCATCTACGGTTCTGCCCAGACGCTCAGCCAGACTCTTCTTCAGGGGGGGTCCCTCCATGCTTTTAAAATCTGAAGCGACACCCGACCGTCAGCTTTCAGGCTGTAACTCCATCCTTAAAGGGCAGGTGGCGCACTCACCAGCGCTGGAAATCCTTCGTCCGAGCCTCTCCATCACTCTGCCTCTCGGCCTCTGCTGTTCTTCAAAGATGACTGGGCCTGATTTTACAGACAGGATAAACAAGCAGAGCCTTAAGCAGAGACGCTCCATCATGTCAGAGGTCTGAGATAAACCCTGGTTAGAAAGCCTCAGAAACTCTACTATAGACGTGGAAAGCTCACCTCTGATCTCTGAGTGGGCCGGCCGGTACAGCGCCTGGATGTTCTCCTTCTCTCCGTTGGTGGTTTGCGGCCTGTGGATGGGAGAACCTGCCCTCCTCATGCTGGACTTCAGGGCCTTCCTCAGACGTATCTCCTCCAGGGTGCTCACGCCGAAGTTCAGCGAGTCTCCTGTGAAGACCAGACCTTCTAACATTCACTGCGTCTTCAGCTGTGAGCTCAGAGGTTTGTAGTTCGGTCTGAATCTTACCTGATTTGGAGAACTTCCTCGGAGAAGCTCCGACTTTCCCGTCCTCTCCTTCCTCTGAGAACTGATCTAGAAAGAAAAGATCTGGAGTTTAAAAACCTGACAGCGATAGAAATGATCCCTGGATTGAACTAAAATGATTTTAGCCTCGTGAGACCATCCTAATCTTTCAAGGTT